TCGTCGCCATCTTGCGCGCCATGCCCAACCTGGGCATCACCTACGCCAACAAGGATCGGGAGGTATTACACATTTATACCGTATGTCCATCTCTGCCTTCCCTTCTGGGTAACGGGCATAAGTTATGTTATTAATGTTTTGTGCAATTTAATGCAGCTGCAATTCGCGTTTAAGACTAACATTTGTAGGTGCAGTTGCAATAACGTTGGATTTGGACTTCTGTTGCACTGAATATATTCCATCTATTCAGGCCCAAAGCTCGGTCTTGTATTAAAAAATTATAATCTCATCTTACTAATAATATAAAAGCGAAAGTTTAGATGGATGGATGGATGTTTGTTAGAGTTTGTAGCTTAAACAACTGAAAGGATCGAAATTTTGCATAGTAAAGGATAGTGTGGAAGAACACAAAGGCTACTCGATTTTGATTTATTTATTTCACGCGGATGAAGTCGCGGGCGAAACCTAGTATAACAATAATGGTAAAAGATGTTTGAACATCGTGAATAATGGCTACATGTTAAAAATAAGTAAACATTTAAAAACGTACACATTAATTGTTTAGAGCCCTCGATAACATACTTAAATCAGAGTTCCTCATTATAATTAGATCATGTTGGTTGTAAAAATGAAAATCTTTGCCCAATTTAAAAATACTTCATTATACAGTTTATAGTGCGGTAGTTAACAAGTGGTGGACTCGATACTAATTTGAGTATCAAAGCTCGTACGTTCCAGTTGCGCAAGCCATAACTGCTTCGATTACGAGGCGGCAGTGTTCTATAAATAATGTTTGGTCGTCGGAAAAAAATCATTTACGTTATACGGTGGTGAAAGACTTCCGAGTACTTAAATTTTGTATGCAAAGATTAATGTTTTATGCAATCGCTTTTTAGCAAGCAACCAAATTCCAGCATCCAGTAATTTAAAGTTCGCGTGAGTTTAAATTTTGTTAACGATTATTATCTAATAATTAATTACAAATAATCTCTAGATATACATTGTCTTTGATTCAACTAAGCCGTAAGGCAATATTATCTATTAATAGTCAATATCATCTTTTTACTTAATCTTTTAAGTATTAGTACTTTAATCCAAATGATATTTAATCTTATCGAATAAATTAATTTTGTGTAAATCTATCTTCAGTATATACATTTAAAAATACACATATTTCGTAGTGTAATTTGTATTAATTTCATATTATTTAAATATAAACATTTCTCTACGTCTTCGATTAAACTCGTGCGTCTTAAATTTGTTGAAATAAATGCTATATTTATGAAATATATCGAACGTCTCCAATTAAATTTGTAATGCTGATTACAATAATTAAATGCTTCGAATTGAAGCAATACATGATTTTTTATCGCATTCATGTGTGTTTAATATTCATGAAAGTTTATATGAAGTTAACCCGTCAATTTGCACTAAAACATACTGGCAGTTATAATTGGTTACACGTTGTATTTATGATTAAAAACATTAATAACTATTAATGTCTTTCAATGTGCCATTTCGGTGCTGCGTTTATTCAATTTAGTCAAGTATAATTTTAATATGTAGGGTTATTTATGTATACAGACTTAAATATGAATTTCTTATATTTCCGTCTCTTATGTCTATGAAATCCAAATCATTTGATTTGTCTACCCAATAAAATGCCCAGTATTTCCATAGTTCAAGTTAGTAATATCGTGTTTCGGAATAGGTAGCCCACTACAAAAATCACTGCTTTCTCCTCATACCGATCTGAATGTTCGTGATGTTTGTCCAATATCGATGGAAAATATTTGCCGCAAGTTGATCGATGCTGAGTATTTCTTATTCATGAAAGTGTTTCGATGCATATTCAGAGCGGCCTTGTTCGCGGCTTATTGCATTATTTGTTCTTTGCATTCATTATGCATACAGTTGCGCACTGTTAGCATAGGGCCAATTTGCCGCAGTCTTTTAATTTCCTTCATTGTTATAATGCTGAACTTTGGAAAATGTTTCGTGTTTGATTTTACAATAATTTTCTTTATATTACGCTTATTACTTGCGTTTTGAATACAATAAAGTTACAATTATGCAGCATCATTTGCAACAAGAATCAGATAAACTAAAGTACATAATGGCGTTCAAATTAATACACATTTTAAGTCAACTAATGTTCACTAAGGAACTTTTAATGTATATTTAGCATGAAAAATGTAAACTAAGATAATGTAGGAGTTACCATCTCAAAAATGGGATATGTAAAGTATGGAATTAACTTGAAACGACTAAAGCTACGAGAATCTTTGAGATAGTGTAGACGTGCAAAGCCTTAAAGATGATTGATTTAATAACGGAACAAGCCCATATGTTGCACGAAGAATTTTAAAATTTTTCCGCTTTTGGCAAATCTCCAGTGTCTCGTGGGATAACCTTTATCCACATAATTCATTCTATTCGTTTGACAACAATTCAATGTGAATGTGGAGGGGTACACCGGTAGAGGTTGACCTAGAAAGAGATGGATGGATTGCGTGAAAGGTGACATGATCAAGAAGGGAGCGATGACTGAGATGACGGATGATAGAGTTATTTAAAGGACGAAAACCCTGTGCGCCGACACTACGGAAGTAGGATAAGGCAGGGAAGATCGGATGATGAACAATTCATAGGTGTAAAGTTTTTGTTTTATAAGCGTGATTGTTGGTTTTAGTTTTACCTTGGTATTTTAACTGATTAATTATTAAAATACTTATTTATGTTTATAGGTGGTATCTTACAACAGATTGAGGTAAATGATTTTTGGATTTTATGGTATCGTACGGCTAAATCGATCGCTATCCGCTAGTCATATTTATTTTTGAATCTAAGAATCTTCCGGATTTTTGCATAGTATTTGCTATTACTTTCAACTTTATAACTACTATTTTATATAATATAAAAATTTAATTAACACTCTACAGTTCTAACAGTCACGTGGCTGTCTCGGGTTCGATACGTAACAAAAAAGCCTCGTGAAATATTGTAATTAAATGTTTTGTCACGCAGCGTGCTCAAAGGAGCCGTTACTCTCGGAAGTTTTAGTTCTTCCTAACCACACTAATAGAAATATCACGATTTAGTAAGACAAATACAGTAGAACCTCGATAAGTTAAAGTCCAAGGGAAACACAAAATGTTTTAAGTTACCGAGGTTTGAGTTATCGAGGTTCTACTGTATAATCATTCGACAAGAAAAATGTATAACCATGTTGTGTTATACAAGTATGTACTATATACGTTATTATTACTGCTGTTCATTTTTTGCTTAGTAATACACAATACAATGCTAGTTTTTGTATAGTAAAATAATAATAGACAAGAAAGGGAGAAAGTGTTGTCTGGCTACTTGTAGAATCTTGATTCACAAACCTAAACTTAGAATTATATGAATACGTCTGTATCTCTATGAATAGTACTGGTAATTATCAATAGACAAATGTTTATTCTCTTGTTATTGAAGCTAAATAGATCGTCTATAATTGTATAATTTTAGCTTTTGACTACAACATAGAATTAGATTGCTATAATCAAATCTACGTTAGTACAACTAAATGCCTAAATATACCTCGACGTCTCGGCAACTTATTGTTTTCAATAAAGCATAATTATGTATCGTTAATGTTCGCAACACTGTTGATTATGATTGAAGAATTTGTACTAAAATGTTCGTGATATTCGATCTATAAGTGATTTTTTTAATAATTTCGTTTGTGTTAGCACATGGCTCCGCAGAACACCGAGGGGCTCGGAACCTACCCTATTTAAACGGTGACTAGGCCCTATTCAATTATTGTCAGCCTTTGTTACATTTTTAATATGATATTATTATTACAGAGCGACGGCAAGATGGTGTTCGACGTGATTCAGCGTATGGAGGACACGGAGCCTTTCAGCGAGGAGTTGCTGGCGGCGATGAAGCGGCTGTGGGCTGATGCCGGGGTGCAGGAGTGCTTCGGCCGCTCCAACGAGTACCAGCTCAACGACTCTGCTAAATAGTAAGTCATTATTTTATAAACAATTAGGATTAGTTCCCACTTCACACTCGAGTTATACTGTCCTTTTATAGTCGCAGTCACGTTTTTCGAAGGCTTCACATATCAGCTGATCAAAATCCCGTTGGTAGTAGACAAATTGAATCATAGAGAGAGCTCATGTTATCTGTGTTTGTATAGTTAAAATATTTCATAACATTTTAAAGATGGTTTAAAGTTAGATAACGTGGAAAAATATGCAGTTTTATCGTAAGAATTTACATGTTTTCCATCCTTATGAACGAGATAACGCCCGGTTTCTTAAAACAGAACAATTTTGTTTTAGATAATATAACTTGGTTTTTAGTTAAATTAAACGGACTAATCTTATTATCGGATTGTTTAGGTATTTAATTTTAATATTTGATAAAAATTGAGCTCAACTATGACGATTATATCTTGTTTTATGTAATATTTTTATCATAGATAACTAAGTAACACATTTACAATGAAATTTATTTCTACGTAGAAAACTTGATACATTTTCCTTTGCCTTAGATAAATTTTAAATCCTAGAAACTATTACATAGTATGCATAACTTTGGCATAACAATATAGTTTAAAGATATCAATTATAACAGAATGAATACAATTCTATGCAATAAGAGTAATGTGTAAACACGGTATGTTATTGTCGGCGCAGTAATGTAAACTGCAATGGCTCGTTAGGTATGTACGTCGGTGTCACACTGTATGTCAGTTCTCCGTAGCGCCATCTTACTGAGTACTCGTGGAACATCTGGAACAAATACAATATTTTACTTCATTGTATGCGTCAATAACTTTTTATTGTACAAATTGCTGAACTATTTTACAGAAGGAATACAAGATATTGCAACAGATCCTTTTCTCTAAAATTGCAGATTAAAAATCTCTTTTAAAAAAATGTGTTTTGTAGCTTGTAACTTTCAGAAGTGATATCAGATAATTAATCAATAAATGGAATTGTGAGATTTTTTTGGATTAATAATTAATATATAAAATGACAGTTCTAGTCGTCCTAACTTAGGGTATGCATCGAGCCCTCAGTAAGGACGTATAGTGAGCTAGTGATGATGATTTGAATTTACCTTAGCCAATAATAATTGCAGTTCAGCTTCCGCGAACCTCTTTCCTATACACATGCGCCTACCAAATCCAAAGGGAAGTGAGGCGAAGGGATGAATGCCGACCTCCTTTTGTTTTTCCCATATTGACTTTGCTTGACAATGGTCTGGCCCTTGCTTCATGTCCCCAGAGTTGTGTAATGATTCTCCTTTCATTCCGTAATTCAACACTGCCTTATTACCGCAGTTTGATCTTTCGATATCCTCCCTTAGCCATCTCTCGGGGACGTATTCTTGTGGCGATGGGAAATATTTTTCGTCGTTCGATAAAATGTAGTGCGGGAATACAATGTGTGACTGGAAAAAAATGTTTTAAATGTACATGACAGAAATGGAAGCAAAATCCATGTCAACTAAATGTAAATTTCTAAAAATGTATAATGTATATTATAAGTAAAAGATATGTCTTTGATAATACATACCCCTTTAGGGACTTCATAACCGGAAATTACGGCGTCAGATTGAATGCATCGACCGTTTCCTAATATTACTGGTTTTATTCTGCAACAGATAATTTATAAGACAAATTTATTATAAAATTTGATATTATTTTGTTTTATATTAACTCAATGTTGCTATAAGGAAAATTACTTCGTATTATTTATACTGAAATGTATGATTAATTATTTGCTTTTGATCACTACGACAGAGTTTTCAGTTAGTACGATTATTACGCTTTTCTAACCAAGTTACTGTTTATTTGAAATGAAATATTCCATCTCTTTGAAAAATATTAGTGGTATGTTCTTAACTGTCAATACTGAGGAAAGAACAATAGTAATTGTATTTCGCGGGGTGGTTACTGGGTGGATACTTTTAAGTTATTCTCGTAAGTTACCTCTACCGCGCACTTACATAAAAACATTGTTTATGCCATCTCTTCTTTTTGTACAGCAGTGTATTTAATAATACATCTATTAATTTAAATTATTCCTTATAGTCCTCCTGTATTGAGTCGATCTCTTATTTACTATTATTAAAAGTTATTATAAATAATCATTTAGCAAATGTTTAACTTCCTATTTCACACGATTATTACGAGTGCGCACTCAGAATCGCTCCGGCTGGCCTTATTGGAAACGAATGACGAAACCTGTGCACTTCTTAGTACATTTATAATATAATACTGTACAAAGTTATCAATTTCCCAATACCACAGTAACCACACTGCAACCAGATCTGACGCTACACTTTGTTATAAAAACAAAGAAAAATAACTAATACGACATAAGAGTTGGGTGAATGGTAATTTAATATTAGTTTGGAAGTTGCTCTTATAAGAATAAGTTGTGGTAATTATTTGCTAATTTGTCTTTTTCATATTGGAATTACATAAAAATACTGTAAATCTAAAGTAAAGCTAATCTCTTTGTACATAGGATTAATAATTAATAGATACACGTCTAAATATTGTTGATACAATTTGTATTCAATGTAGATTGTTTTAAAATTCACAAGAAGTCACTATATGATAAATATCACACATCTAAGTGTTTTTATGTAGAGTAATGTGTAAACATTACTACGTTACTTTTATTATTCATCCATTCTATTTACGGGTCAGTAATGGTATTTCCTTAAAAAGTGATTAGAATCTAGGCTGATTGACAAAATTAGCATTCACTATTACACGAAACAAATTAAAAATTAAATTTACCTTAATGCCTCTTTAATACAAGCTCGTAAATACGGCAACTGATCCAAGTCTTTACTTGTCATTTCCCTGGTGGTAACCAGATGGGTGTCGAGTTCCTCTTGCAACCTCTTCTGTACCCTCTCATTTGTAGCTAACAAATAAATAGTACTAGCTGCCGCCGCTGCGGTCGTATCAACACCAACTAACAATAAATCTAATGCCAGTATTGTGGCAACTTTTCTACCATAAGTTTCAGCAATGTGAGCACAAATGCCCTTGTCAGTCAGTCTTTTTAAACATAACGATCTGAAAGAGTCCAGTGCGTTTATATAAGTCTTGTATGCGGTGGTAGGGTAGAGACGCCACAGAGGAGCGGACAGTTCTAGTTCAGGTACGCTGTGGAAGAAGCCGTGGATACTCCTGATAATATCTTGAGCTTCGGTGTCGTTGTCTTGGAAACATCCCAGCCTCGTGCCGAGAGCCCATGCACCGACCGCTTGAAGAATAGTTTATCTTTAGAGTATGATGGTAACAGCTTCAATGAATAAATAATGTGTTTTCCTAATTTATGACAGTTGTATCTGATGTACATTTTAGTTTGAACGGAATTATTTTTTGCTACAGTCTCGGGCCCATTTTGATATAAATGTAGGTAAAGTTTGTGAGTGTTAAAAATACTAATAATAATATTACTTACATTCAAGAGCCCATTTGTAGAGTTCTGTAAGAAAGTCCTCCGGTAATTCATGATTTTCATCGAGAATGTTTTCTATTCTGTAAAAAGGGAATTTTTGTTTCGTCTTTGTATACAAGCAATGAAAGTTATAAAAATATGTTCATAAGATACATCAAATGATAATTATGTGAAAAGGCAAATATTGACTATGTTCTAATGTTAGTTTTGTAATACACGTTATATGTATTCTTTATAAACAATACAACTAAGAAAACGAACAAGTTTAGCTGCGGACCTTTCTTATGACAAATGTATTTGTTCAAATATTTGTTGTATTACAAATATTATGTATTCACTCGTAAGTATTACATGTTAATATTTGTTAATAGATTAGCTGTTATTAAAAAATAACGATAGTATGAACAGAATAAGGATGTTATTTTTTTTTCGTTGTTTTTATTCTGCACCAAATGACTAATAAAAAATTCTTTTTACTTGTAATTAGTTCAGAACAGTATTCTTTTATGCATTCTTTTGTAACATGGAAATTCAACAACATTCTAATTGTAACAGTACTTTTAAATTTGCGTTATCTCATTAAACAGGTGGTAAATGCTATACGAGAGCTTTAGTCAAATTGCAACGTAGCGTTTTCATTGAACGGTCTCTGTTGTTTCCCGGCGTGAGTCAGACCAACAAACAAACGCAGACTGTCGGCAACGGGATGTATTCGTTAAGCCGAGATTCTCAACTCAGCTTGTTGAACCCTGACTATAATGCATAACCTCAATTTGTTAGTTTTCGTCTCTTTTAATTTACTAAGTGGAGATAGGGCATGGATTTTGTATAACATGACATTTGGCTTAGTTTATTAATAGATAGCTTCTCAATTTCGAACGATTAAAGATTTTTTTATAGAATTAATCATTTCATGTAAGGCAATAGTTGTACTTTTATACTAATTTTCATTAAGAAGTTCTGATATGTTAAATTATGCATTTCACTATATCAGCTGCCGATATAACTGATATGTTATTATTTATACATTGCATAACTAAATCGCATTCCTCACCTCGGGCCGTAGGAACGATAATACAATCATTAATTATACACTGAACTCTGTAACCAGGAGTCTTGTTATTTTATAAGCGAATTCATGTAATACAGAGAACGTTTTTAATAGATTCATTTTTATGGGTAATAATTCAACACTTCATAAATTTATACTGGTAGTAATTTAGAGAACTGAACGACACAAGAATTAATAAATATCGAAAATAACTCACCTACAAATAAAATCTTCAGCTACGTAATGTAAAGAGGGTACCGCGGCTCTCGCGGCTTCAGGAGCAGCCAGGGCCTTTGACACTTTGGACCTAAACCTCGACCACGGCATGCCATGTCTAAAATTAAAATTTATTAATTTCTTGATACGCAACAAGGTCTTGTTTCCATGACTAATTGTAGAGTATGGTATAATTGTAACGTCCACAACAAGGGATGGATAAGTTAAATTGTAAATATAAACTTTGTGGAGGGGGTCAAC